TCTATTTCTTAACTCTAAGATTTAAAAATTAAATCCAATAAATTTGTTTTCATAGGAATTTTTACATAAGTATTTCTTGCTTTTCTGCAATGACTTTTAAAGTATATTTTATATAGCAATTGACAAGAATCCAGATCCCACATACCATGGAATGTATTTAAATTTAGTCAAGAAAGTGATAAGAATGTTACATGAAATTTGTATTTCTCAAATCAAATAGAGACGTTTCCCTAGAAAAAGTTCCAGAAACATACTACTTCAGATTTCCATTAATGATTAAAAAGATAGATTAAAGATAGATAAAGGTAAACCTTGGAGATAATAACTGGTGGACTCACAGAACTAAAAATGAATATGGGAAAACTGGATGATAGCAACTATCTACTCAAGCACCTCAGCACAGAGTATTTCCAAAACTGTCAATGGAATGATTAAAAAAACAAAACAAAACAAAAAACTAACCATGTAGCCACTTTTCCAGGGCCTGAAAGACAATGTACCCTAACAAATTCTAAAGGGGTGTGCTAGTGGAGTGTATTCTTGATGTTAAGTGTTTGTAGTATATTCAGATTTTGACAAAATAATTCTGTCTTTAACAAAAAGCTACATAAAGAATACTATTATTTTAATTGGAGAGAAAAGGGACTCTAAGTTCCGTACCTGGGCTAACTGTCTATTAAGTCTCTTAATCTCTTCTTGTAGCTGCTCCTGGTCTTCTCGCTGTCTCTCCATCTGGCGCATGTGTGCCTGCCTCAAAAGTTCTGTTGCCTGCTGATGTTCTTCATACTGCCGCACAAGTTCCTGCCTCATATCTTCCAACTGTTCTTCATTTAACATCAGCTGTCTAGAAGCATCCATGCTTGATACCAACATCTCATCATGGATCTTAAATATTTAAAAAAAATTCAACTAGTTTAACCCATATTGTAGAAATTTGTTGGCATTGACAATTTACGAATTTAAATAAATCACCTTACTTTTATTAAATAAAAGCATAGACAACTCAAAATGTATTTTTATTAGTGCATATTGATTATAGATTAATGAACTTTGCCAAGGCATTTTCATAGATGTGTATGACATACCTTGAGCACATCCTCCCCACTGCCCTTCTCTACCATTCCTTCTCCCACTCCTGATCCTCTTCCTCTTATCTAACAGTCTCCAAATAACATGAACTTAGTTTATTACCATTATGTTATTTTCCGAAAGGAAAGTAGCTATTTATCAGTTAATTTAGTTTAAATCTACTTCTAAAGAAGAAAAATAAAGATGCTCAAGATTCCTCCTACTTTTTTTTTTTGGTGGTGGCCTTACTAGGAATTGAACTCAGGGCCTTGCAAGTGCTAGGCAACACTGCATCACTGAGCTATATCCTCAGCCCTCTTTATTTGATTTTCAGACAGGGTCTCATTCAGTCATTCAGGGTGCCTCAAACTTGTGATCCATAGCCCAAATGGCTAGGATTACAGACTGGCTCTACCACACCCAACTTCCTTCTACTCTTACTGAAGCTGTAGCTCCACTATGCCTCTTGACATTTTATGATGGAGAAAAAAACACGAATAGAACATTCACATCTTAAAATTCAACTTATGAAACATGAGAAATTTTATCTATCTAATCTATATTATGCATTGGTCACCACAATACTATAGATTTGATAAAAATCAATGAGTTTTTATTCGGAAATAAAAGCTTTATATATGTGTTTCTCATAAGAAATTGATTTCTTAATGGGTCCTATGAGTACCTCAATCCCTGAAGAGATAAACAATTCTGTATAACAGCTGCTGGTAAATTAAAGTTTTCATGAACCTCTTTAATATTCACAAATTTTATATTCCATAAAAAGCTGGCAATTTTATCTGAATATGCCTCTGAATAAGACATAACTTATCAACATTAATAATAAATTTGTACTCAGATCACTTAAAAAGACATTATTTTCTGTTAAAGTCAAGAAACAGTTGAGATAATAGATCTTCCATTAATGAATAAAGAGAATTAATAGGCCAAGCATGATGGCACACACCTATAATCCCAGCTATTTGGAAGGCTGAGGCAGCAGTACTGCAAGTTCAATGCCAGCGTCGGCAACTCAGAAGCCCTGTCTCAAAATTTAAAACAAATATGGGAGCAGGGGAGCTGGGGTTGTAGCTTAGTTGTAGATTGCTGCCTAGTATGTGCAAGGCCCTGGATTCTATTCTCAGTACAGCAAAAAAGAGAGAAACAGAGAGAGGGAGGAAAGGAGGGAGGGGAAGTCAGACAATATTAGTAAGAGACATTAAAATGCTTTAGACTGTCTTCTTAGCTACCTCTTAGCTATGGTAGCTATTTCCTTATATGTTCTTGTATTTACTGAGCAAATCTTTTCATCACAGATATTGTCAAATTATATATAATTACTCTTGAATCAGTCCAAACAAAATTAGTGCAGGTGTAAATTACAATGAGATTTTAATGTGTTCAATGTCTCTAAGACAAATAAGAATATTATAAACCAGATTTGTTTTAATACTAATACTGGATCACTCAGCTATATACCTTACAATTAATAAAACCACAATAATTTGAATCATAGTCAAAACCAAACTTGAAACTTTTGTGGGATTGCATAACCTTTGTTCCTTTTCTCCAGCCCCATTGTGATTAAATGTGAGTTAATGGATAAAGATGCTTGTTAGTTTTGGGACGCTAGATAAAAATCTGTAACAGACCTAAAGTCCCAAAGTAAACTACTCAACTCCTTGTTTGCCCGGAACTGATGTTCCGGGCACCACAATTTTTAGAACAAGCTGCAAATGTCTGCTGACCATCAATACGTGACAGTCGACCACTAACCTTTGTCCCCTTTTCTTTAATTCTATATGTTAACTTCCCCCTCAACCCCCTATAAAAACAGCCTTGGACTCTGAGCCAGTTGCCTCTCTAAGCTATTTTGCTTTGGGAGTGCCGTCTGGCCAGACTAATAAAGGTCTGTTTCCAACTTGTCCGGTGTGTTCCTTCCCGGGTGTTCTTCGCTGTAGTCAGCTCCTCGGAGCGTTTGGTAAGGCTCTTGGTCTTACATTCTGAAGGCACCGCTGGGATCCCTGGGTGTGCTTCACTAGTCAGCTCCTCGGAGCGTTTGGTAAGGCTCTTGGTCTTGCATTCTGAAGGCACCGCTGGGATCCCTGGGTGTGCTTCACTAGTCAGCTCCTCGGAGCGTTTGGTAAGGCCCTCAGTCTTACACTTTCACCCTCCAGTAAGCATTATTTATTTATTTTTTGGTACCAGGGATCGAACTCGGGACCTTTCCCTTGAAAGCCAGGGGGTGGAACCACTGGGCTAAATCCCCGGCCCCAGTAAGCATTATTGCTACTACTGTTTTTTTTTGGTACAGGTATCAAACTCAGGACTGTGCGCTTGGGAGGCAGGTGCAGTGCCACTGAGCTAAATCCCTGGCCCACTGCTACTACTTTTATAACAAGTTTTTTTATAAGAAAGAGCATACTTACAGATTCTTTGACTATAAATGTTTCATCTTTGGAAAATATTTCTTCTGAAATAGTCAGTCCATGGTCCTTCAGTTCTAGCACATCATCAGAATCATTATTTGGTAACTCAACTTCCTTTCCATCTCCTCCTAACTCTTTATTAAGTGGTTTAGATTCTTTTTTAAATTTCATTTCCATTTCCTCAAAAGTCTGAAGACTGACTTGACCCTGTGATAATTTTATTTCATTAAAATGCTCTTCTTCCAGCTGACAGAGAACATGTACTTGTTTTGATGATGTTGTATTTTCATTTCCCCCAGATTGTCTAGACAGTTCAGTTTGTTGAGCAAATGCTACACTCATTGATACAATGACCTAAAGAAAATGAAAAAAGGATTTGATTTATAAATACCTGCAGAAATCTTTAAAAGCAAGTTACTATTCAAAATTGTACACATTAGAAAAAAGCCAAGGTTATGGTTTTAAACAAAAAGAATCCTATGTTAAGGTGATATAGAGAGATTCTCTATTTTACAATGAATTTAATGTCAAAATACTTATTTTACTGCCTGCTTTTTGGAATGAAAAACATTTTTTCCTATTACAGCTGCCATAAATGTTCAACATAAAAACTAGAAAGCAAGCCTTCACATTTCTTTCTTCCAAGAAAATTTACTGTAAACACTTTAGTAAATTTTTATCAAACCTTTTTCCTTTTTTACAGCTATAGATACTGATATACATTTTCCTATCAAAAAGTGACCATATTCTAAAACTAATTGATTTTTATAGCTTTTCTATATTTAAACACTGTTTTGAGACAAGAAATACATTCCTATATACTTTCCAATGAGTTCTAAATTCATGACACACAGATGCATTATAAATTTATTCAGTCAATTCCCTATTGCTGGATATTTAGATTTGTTCCACTCTTACACTATTTTAGGCACCACCATGAAATATGTAGTTGTATCACTGTATGCATTCTTTCTTTTTTCCTCACAATGAAGTGGAACACAGGGCTTCTAAGACTGGTAAGTATCTACACACTTGAATCTAATCTGCTTTCCCGCTGCAGTTATGATCAAGAATCTGTTTACTTTACTCCCTCCTAAACTAGGTGCTTTGAAATTCTAATCAACAGCCTTGGCTCTAACAAGCATCTCAGACTTTTAGAACCAAATGTAGCAGTGACTTTATTTAAAGTACCACCTTTCAAAATAATTTGTAAAGAGTGAAGGCTAGCCGCCAAAAGCTCAGGATAAAGCACGCTTGTGATTAGAAATCTTTGTGCCTATTGACCTTCAGCCTTCTCAAACTGTTCTTGTTAGTCCAATCATATCACTGAACTTTTAAAAAAATTTCCTGACTTGAACCTGATTTATCTATCTGGGGTCCAGATTCTACCTGGGTCCTGCTAGCCTAATTCTTCCAGAGGCTACATCCTTCAGCTGCTGAATGAAATCCTGCTTCAATAAAAATAATAATGATGATTTTAACAAGACCAATATTAATAGAAGCAGCAATCAATGATTAAGACTAATTACTTAACCCTCATTATAAACTACAAGGTAGGTATTATTATTGTGCCAATTTAATAGATAAGGAAACTAAGGAGGACAGAGATTAAGTAATTTGACTCCAAACTACAAAGAAAATAAACAATGAAAGATAGGCTTTACAGTCCGGCAGTGTTAACTCACTTTCTAAAATAAAATATTGTACTATTTATTTGTAGTATCACGGCAAATGCTGGGAAAACTGAAATGCAAAAAGATTAGAAGCCATGAAAAGGTTCATTTACCTAATAATGACAGAGCAGAGATTTGGACCAAAGTATGTTTACTATAGAGATTAACCAACTAAACACTGTTAAACTGCTTCTGTCCAGACAGTCTCACCTACCAAGCTGGACCTCTTGAATGGTAGCTCAGACAGAAGAGCTTTGGTAATAATGTCCTGGATACTCACCTGGAACATATGCCCATTTATAGTCAAATGCAGAAACATAGGGATGAAAGAATTAGTTAATGAAATAACATGACTTGTATTTTGGGCAGCATAAAGGAAGCCCACAGCAGCCTCTCTTTTCTATTGATAACAATTAAAATCTCTGAACAAAATAAAAAAACAACCACCAGAGAACTCTGAAAAGTAAACAAAGGCAAATAGAGTGCAGAGGAGAGTTAAGACTCAGAAGCAATCTGTATGGGAAAGGTGAAACAGAACTTAAGGTCTGAACCTAGCTGGGTTCACAGCATGTCTTTAAAAATTCATTCTCGAGAATATTAAAATGAGACTCAGGGTTTACACAACATATCCTAAAAATTCAATATACATCTCAAAATTAGATGATATCTAATTCATTTTTTTCTGAATTCGCTATTAGCAGACCTGTTCTCAAATAATTGCTTAAGGAAGTTTAACAGGCTGAAGAGAAGTAACACTAAAGGAAATCTGACATTTAAACAACAGAACACAGTCTTTTCCAGTACACATGGAGGAGCATTCACCCAAATAAGACTACATCTAAAATGAATTTAAAAGAACTGAGATCGCACGTGGTATGTTGTGTGACCACAAAGGAAAAAAATGTATTAATTAAATCAGCAGCAAGAAGCTGTCAGAAAATTCCAAAAATACAAAAATCAAACAACATATTTAAATAGCCCATGAATAAAAGAGGAAGTCACAAAGTAAACTACTATCATATATCTGGATTGAATGGCAATTAGTAGAATGCAACTTCAGCATTGCAAATAGGGGAACTTATAGCTTTAAATGAATAAATCAAAAAAGAATAAAGAGGGCCAGGGATTTAGCTCAGCAGCATAGCACCTGCCTAGCAAGCTTGAGGTCCTGAGTTCGATCCCCAATACAAAAAAAAAAAAGAATCTTTTAGAAAACTAGAAAAAGAAGAGTAAATTAATCCAAAGAAAGCAGAAACAAGAAAATAAAGATGAGAGTAGCAATCAATGAAAATAAAAATGAAAACAACAAAAACAACAATGCAACCAAGAGCTGGATGCTTGAAAATATTGATATATCAATAAGCTTCTAGCCAAACTAACAAAAAAGGAAATTAGGAATACCACTGTAGATCCTACAGCTATTGACTGACAAAAGAATACTACAAACAACTGTAATCACAGAAATTCAACAGCTTTGATGAAAGGGACCAAAAGAAATAGATAACCTGATTAAAACTAAGTCAACCAAAGAAACTGTACATACAGCTTTTTAAAAATTCCAGTGAAAGGGCTGGGGATTTAGCTCAGTGGTGCCACTGCCAGCCTGGCAAGTGCAAGGTCCTGAGTTCAATTCTCGGTACCAAAAAAAAAAAATCCAGCAAAAATGACCCCAGGCCCAGCTGATGCACTGGAAAATTGTACATAATAGTTAAGAATTAAATAATGTCAATTCTACATAAATTCTTCCAGAAAATAGAAGAGGAGCTAATATATTTTAACATTTTATGAGGGCAGCATTATTCTAGTATTAGATCCAAACAAAAACATTACAAGAAAATAAAAATACAGATAAAATTCTTCATGAAAACAGATGTACATATCCTTGACAAAATACTAGTAAACAGAATACAGCAACATATAAGATACAGGGTTGTCTCCAAAGAGAAACTTTTGGGTGTAAACGAAATGTGTGTCTTTATATCTTGATTGTGATATTGGTTTTACAACCATTAATGTTCATTAAATCATAACAAAATTTGCACTTACAACTGGTGACTTTCATATTATGTAAATTATACCCCAACAGACATGATTATAAACAAACAACAAAAGCCTGACATGATAGGCCAAGAAGAAGCTGTTGAAATTTTGAAAAACCAATACGATGATCACTTTCTTTTGTGTTTGCATTTAAATTAGGAAGGAATGACAGAAATAACTTTAAGAATTGTAAAATTTGGAAACTACAAAACCAGACTCAAACCACCTTCTTATTCTCTTTTCCTTCATCGTACTAACAAAATTCTCCCTGTGCCTATAATTAACCTTCTGCCTACCTAGTGTCTTTGAACCTGAACTTAACTGCGGAAGGAAAAAATCCAATCAAGCAAACTGGTTGCACTTTAAATTCATACCAATATCCTTGAAATGGGCCCTCAGTGATACTGAGCAATTATTCCATTTCCCATTTCCAATTCTCTCCATTCATTGTCCCCCCTTTCATATTTTTATGAAAAGAGAAACAATTAGAAAAGAACTTCCACAGGCTCCAAATATGGCATTTGAAAACACCTGAATAATGAACCAAATATTTTCTTACTTCAAATACAAAGACCACAATACAGGATGGATACAAGGAGACAAGGGATAGGTCTCTTATAAATGGGAAGGGGGCTTGGAGACTGACAGCAAGGGGGGGGGGGATCAGTAGAATGAAGATATGCCATGTACAGAAACTTAATAAACTCAGTGAATATAAACATTTTATGTCAGAAACATGAGATAAGATTAATATATCAACAAAAAGGAAAATGGAGAAAGGGGAATTAGAAGAGGAGGGAGATGGGAGAAAAGGGGATTTTAAAAAGAACCACATCATGTACATGCATCCCAAGATGATTATAAACTGCATGTACTGCAAAAATGTACAAATAAAAAAACAAAAACAAAATCCAAATATTTTCTGCTTTCTTCCTATTATTACAGATTAAATTGCCATGTTCCTATCTAAAGGAAAGGCCCCAGATAACAAATCCTCTGCTCCACAACTGCTTCTCTCTCTTCTGAATCAGCTATTTTCCCCTCCTTGATCTTCAATTATTTTTATTAGCATATAAATAGATGCAATCTCTCATCTTAAAAAAAAATAGCAACAACAAAAATCCACCATGTGACTCTCTACATCACCCTTTTGCTACCACTATATTTCTCTGCTCCCCTTTTAAGTAAAACTCAAAATAGTTCATCTCATTCCTCCCCTTCATGCTCTCAAACTTAACTAATCAATTCATCTCCACCATCCCATCAATGCGTCCTTGTAAAAGTCATTATGATTTCACATTATAAAATCAAATGGCTGATTTGCAGGTATAATCTTTCTTCACCTATGAGAAACAACCAACATGATTTAATACATTCTCTTCCTGATATATATATATATTTTTGTTTGTTTGTTTGTTTGGTACCGGGGATCGAACTCGGGTCCTTGCACTTGTGCAGCAGGCAGTGAAACCAGTGAGCTAAATCCCCGGCCCCTTATTATATTTTTATTACATGGTTTCTCTAATGCAATTCTTTTGTTTTTTCCATATCTAATATACTTCTCCTTTTCTGTCTCCTTTGCACTTCTTTACATCTCTGGTCTCTAAACATTGGGATATTTTTTCCTTAGTCTTCAGAAGCTTTTCCTATCTATACTCACTCTGTATATTAGTATTTTTCAAAATTTTTTCACTGCAATAAATGGTTAACATACACACATATACACACACAACAAAAACAAAATACATTTGATATTATGATCTAAAGCGTACTTCTGTATATGTTTACACAACTGAACTTTTCCGTTAATACTAAAATCCTAGTCTCAACCCACTAAATTGATTTCATGACTTAAAAATGCGTTGCAACTAACAGTTTGAAAAATTGCTTGCTATACTAACTCCTACATTTAAATTTTCTATTTTTTTTCTTTTACCTAAGTTTTACATTTATATATCCAAAGAAGAAATATATATGACACTTATAAAAAAAGTACATAAAATCAGTAAAATCTATGTTTTTTGAGGTCTCAAAGAAAATATAAAGGTAAACTTTCACATAAAACATAAACTTACCTTAGCTACTTCTTCTTCTAATCGTTCTTGGTACTGTTTTTCTAGCAACTTAACCATATTCATTTCTTGTTTCGCTCCAAATTCACCAGAAAACTAAATTAAAAAGCAAACAAAATATGTCATATTTAGTTACACCAATTGTATACCAGTTATTTTCAAGGTCTATACTCAAAATATCCTCAAAGCATCACTATGTCTTAGAAAACTTCTGGATACTTTCAGCAAAAAATAAACTTTTGTTCCCCTTTAACTAAAAGCATTGAGGGCTGGGGATTTAGCTCAGTGGTTCCGGCACCTGCCACGCAAGCGCAAAGTCCCGAGTTCGATCCCAGGTACCAAAATAACTAAAAACATTAATTCTAGTGAGTAATTTTCCTAAACAGTTATATTTTACTGCTGTGAATGTGGAAATACAGTACAAAAATACAAATATATTTATATAATTATATTTATTACCATAATTCTAATATAAGTTAGGGATATTTGAGTGTAATAAGACATGTATATGCATATTTCATTTGAAGTAAAATGTTCAATAGTGGCAGCTTGCTCATGATATTATAAGCAATTTTTCTTGGCATATTTTAATAGGATCCAATTTTCCACAAATACAAATATTATTATTTTTTTGGTACTGGGGATCAAACTCAGGACCTTGAACTTACAAGGCAGGCCCAGCACCACTGAGGTAAATCCCCGGCCCACAAATTATTTTTATCAATATAAAAAGTAACCCTTTTTAGAAATGCAAACATATTCTCAGCATGAAAGTATTTACTGATCATCTCAGTTTCATCCAACAGATATTCCATAAAGGGTGAGTGCAGAAGAATCAAGAATGTGGCTAATATCTCTCTCTAATATTCAGAATGAAGACAGGCAATAAGCAATTATCTTTATTTTCTCTAGGAGTTAGGAGCTTAAAATTTACTGAGTGAAGATGAAGACTAAAGTTTTACAGTTGGAGGTCTGAGAAAAGTTTTGCAACTCAGGAATAATACAATGTTGAAGAGAGGCAGAGAGTGGTTTAGCTAGATGGCATCCTTGAAAGGATGAGGAACTTTTTTATATCACAGGCCTCTTGAGAAGGAGGCTTCATCCACTATTCCAGACTTTGCACCTTGGATTTTGGGAATTCCTAAATTTTCTAAAGATGGCTTGGTCCTATCCTGTGATGGGAAGAAAAGAATTATGTTGGTCAGGGTACTGAAATTAATTTGTTATACAGCCCACAAAGAGTTATAAAAACAAGACAAAATTTAAACTCTAACATACTTACGGAAAATTTAACTTTCTGTTTTTCTTATGCTATGAAAATACACTAAATTTCTTTATATAGTTTAGGTCTTTTATACCATGCTTACTTCTAGAAAATATTTATTGGATAATTACTAAGCCACAGACAGAAAAATGAAAGTTAAAAAAAAATCACTGCAATTAACATTTTAAAAATTAAAAATATAATACCTCTATTGTACCACCAATATTCTCTTTTACATAACTTCCAGCGTATACTGTTCTCTGTCCGTCAGATTCTTTTATTACCATTGAATCAATGGAAGAGCTAAATATAAATAAAAGAGGATGAAGGAATTAAAGTTGTGTGTATGTTTTGCTATTCATCTAACATTTATTCCATGCATAAAAAGAGTACTAGGGCAAGGGAGACAAAAATGACATGTCAGGGTTTACAGCTATTATAACTTAATTTACATTTTTGCCAAATTTTTCCATTTAAAAGTAACACAACTGAATTATGCAGGATTTTAATCTATCACCAAATGAATTTTATGACATTTTATAAAGGCTACTTTAAATTATGACATACAGCTATATATAGGTAGTGGTACTTTTTAAAAAAGGTATCTCAGATATATTGAGGTAAAAAAGGTAAAAATCTCCTTTTTACTAAAACTTTTTTTAACATATATATGTGTACATCACAGAAAAAAGTCTGGAAGGACACATAGCAAAAGTTACAAGGATGATCTTTAGTGGAACTGACACAGTAGCAATAAAGAAAAGATTCTTATTTCACATAATTACTTTTGGACTTTGGTTCTACTCTATTCACATGTATCTTTTGGTATTTATATCTGGATTCTGTATTCTACAGTCACTACTTTGTAAAAATGTTTCTCTTAAAATACTTAATTTACCAGGTGTGATGGCACATGCCTGTAATCCCAACTATTTAGGAGGCTAAGGCAGGAAGATTTCAAATTTGAGACGAGCCTGGGTAACTTAGTAAGACTCTATCTTAAAATAAAAAAGGGCTGGGAATGAGTAGCTTATCGGTACAGTGCTTGTCTACCATGTGTGATACCCTGGGTTCCAGCACTACACACAAGGTAACAAATATATAACTTGTGGGTTTCTAATTAATTAAAACAAACACTCAAATGGGTTAACTTGAATAACAAAAATGAGGTAAGACGGGGCCAGGAATTCAGCTCAGTGGCACTGAGCCTGCCTCGCAAGTGCAAGGTCCCGAGTTTGATCCCTGGTACCAGGGGGGAAAAAATTTTAAAAATGAGGTAAGATTAGTATTTAAGAAACATGAGGAAAAAAAAAATAAAAGAAAATTCATAATTTTTGCTTTGGGCAAATATAATTCTTCACTACCATTTTAATGTGCACTCACCCATGCTGCCTTCTTTATTCCATCCTCCTCTTGCTTACATACCCTACTTTCTCCTGTTGTCTTCCACCCTTTCCTTTTTTTCCAAAATTGACCACATACAAACTATACCACTGTCTCATTTCATTACATATAATTAACCTGTATTGATGGTCACTTGGTTGTTTCCAAATGTTCTTTATGACAAACAATGCCATAAGATTTGTACAAGTATATCTTTACATCTTTCAATATTTATATAAAATATTAGATATTTTATATGATAAAATCTTACCACTTGTTAAACTCACTATTTGAAATCTGAGTATAGTGCCATATTCCAAATTATTTCACTTTCATAACAATATCATTTAAGTACAATAATGTGTGGTAATAATCTTAAAACTTTGCTAGAATTAAGTGTCTTGATTTCTGAGGGTAAACTTTCTTTCAAATGCTATTGGATATTTAAGTTTCTCTCCTGCTGCGAAATATTTATTCATGTTTCCCGTTCATCTCATCTTTCTAAAATCTTCTCTGCCCTTTTGTGGTTGTCTTAACTTTCTCACCATTTTGCCTGTTTTTCTCATTGCCCCTTACATACATAATTCTGATCTCTGCCTTTGTATCTTAGTTCTTATTTTTATAGCTGAGAAAACCATTCTGATTATCCACTCATTTGACCCAAACTCCAAAAAGTACTTAGTCCACAATAACTTGATTCTGTGAGCTTTATAAAGTGTTTACTGCCAAAGTGCAAAAAATAATCTAACCCTAAATTCACTGCTCCTGTCCTACAATGAAGCTCCTACCTACCTTCCTGCCTGATGTCACTATATTAATATGCCATCATTCTCCATATTCCCTAGGCCCAAATAACACAAGATTCTTTATAGTTTTCCCCTATGCATGAATCTTAACATTCTTTCCATCAAAATGTTCCAATATTCATCCTTTATTTCCATTTCCCTGGTACCATTCTAGTAAGTGGTATTACAGAAATCTACAATAAAAAATTCAACACAGTCATAGGTTTAAACTCTATACAACCTTTAGTTGTATCACTAGGTTATAATCCCCAATTGCACCCTTTTAAAAATTATTTGTGAATAATTAGGTCATCCCTGAAAACAAAGGGCTACTTTGTACACATATTATTCTTCCACAGCAGTTAGCCAGGCCTCTTCTCAGTTACTCATTTAATATTCACAATATTAATGGTAATTACTATCTTTATCACTACTCAGAGATGTTTACAAAATTTGCCACTAGTCATAAAGCCAGTAAAAATCAAAGCACGGGTCAAATGTAGGTCCATCTGACTTAAAAATCCATGGTCTTTCCAAACTCATACTATTTTTCTAAGATGCTTCCAGTATGAAGTTATCAAATGGTTATATAATAAATGACTCAATCATTTTTCCTAACCAATTTCAAGTTTGCTTGCATAGAACTCTGTAAGTTTAATTCAAAATTCATAGGTAGTGAGATGACAGAAGTCCAAAGGTAGAAACAGCAGAGTAATCCTAAATTTCCAGAGACCTTCCATTTCTTCATACATTTGGAGAGAAAGCATCATTAATTAAAGGAGAATTGTTTGAAGTACAGTGAGTGGTTAATAGATTTCTTACTCTCTACCTATTTTCTTTCATATCAGAAAGTCTAAAGCAGTGATTTCTAAATGCCAAGCCATAGGGTGTGTATCTCAGAATTATCTTGTTAAGAAACACAAATTTTCAGTTTCCATCTTTAGTCTAACTCTCCAAATGTACAATCCAATAATCTGTGATTGTAAATACACACATATACACAGCCTCTGAACCACTAACCTCGAAGAAACTAGAAGATTTATAAGGCTGTATCAATGCTGAATAAAAAGTTCCAAAGCCATATATAGGCTCTGAATAAAATAGGGACTAGTAACAGACTACCTGCAATGAATTATGGACATTCCATCAACAAGTGCCTATGGAGACATCAGTCCTAGAACAGCAGAGTCAGCCAAAATTAGATTAAATCTCAAGGGTTTTTATAGAAGTAATTATACACTAAAGCACATTTCCCAACTAAGGTATGAACTATTCACTTCACAAATATCTACCAAGCACCTACTGTGTGCAGGGGATATTATAAATATTTAGAATATATCAGTGACTTAAACAAAGAACCTACTCTTCTACAGTTTAAAGTCTTTCCTTAGAGACAAACAATAAAGAAAATAAGAACAAATCCTCTCCAAATTTTTATATATTTGGATATATAGTATATGTTTATACACCATATAAATAATATATAATGTACGTATGTATTTAAAATGGATCATATTAATATGGAAAAAATGAAAAAGGCTACAGACTTTTCGGGGACAATTTTAATTTCCAGAAGGTGATCAAGAAAGACCTCACGAGACCATAACATTTAAAAACAGACCCAAAAGAGGGCGTGTGCACACACACTCATGCACAGGGTCGAAAAAAAAACAACAACAAACAGACCCAAAGGTACAAGGTCCCGAGTTCAATCCCTGGTACCAAAAAATATATATAATAAAATAAAAAAATTAAAACAGACCCAAAGGAAGTGGTAAGTATTGGGCATATAAATATCTGGAAATGAGCATTCTACGTAGAAGAAAGAGCCAATGAAAAAACCCTAAACCAGGAGCAAACTAATCCTTTGAGAACCTTAAAGAGGTTGTAGGGCTCGGGAACAGAAGTGACAGACAAGTCAATAGGAGATGGGGACTCACTGTGCAGAACCTAGTAAGTTACTATGACAGCAGAGTAGCACTGAAATAACATGGCCTGTCTTAAGTTTTAAAAGCAAGGCCTGGCACCTGTACTGACTTGTGTAGAGAAGGAAGCAAAGAGTCAGAGTAATCCAGGCTCTCCTGAGAATGATGATGGCAGGAACCAGTAGGTTGGTAAGGAATGATACACTTCAAATACACACTGAAGCCTTGTTTTTTTTTTTTAAGATTTCTTCACAGATTGAAATAGATGTTTGAGAGAAAGAGCAGTCACGATAGATGGAGATGGCTGCAGAAGGTGTGAATTTTGAGAAGATCCAGAGTTCTTTTTTGGTGATGGTGACTCTGAGTATCAGACAATTAAGTAGAAGAAATCCAGCCATAAATGGAATGATCATATCTTACATTTCTTGGGTATTAACCATATCAAAGTAGCAAACCTTAGGCACAGGATAAACAACAAATACATGCCCATAACTTGTTGTAATCCAGAAGATTAATATCAATATCTCTATAAAAGTATAAGTAAAATTTCTTAAGTTATACTTTATTCTTAAAATAACCATTACAGAAGATACTATGATTGTTACTAAGTTACAAGTACTATTGGACAAAATTATAAGTAGATAGATACCTTGGCTGAACTGTGGACTCATTAACAGCTTGCAACCTCTCCTGCAAACACTGGATCTCCAGCCCATGGTTTTCTTCACTTTTTTCCAATTGTTGCTGCAAAGAAGAGATGAGGTTTTCTAAGTCTTGAACTTGTTCTTCAAGGTGTTTCATTTTTTCTGTATCTTGCAGAGAAGATAATGTGCTTTGATGATTGACATCTATGTTACAGGAAAAGAAGAAAATGCACATTTCAATACAACTTTTTAGTGCATTAACAAAATTATTTATGTGTATAGAAAATAGTCATTCTTCCTTGAAAAAAATGTTTTTAATGATAGTTACATGTTGCAGGTGGACTTAATCTGACTGATAAAAAGAAGAAAACACAAATAGTGTAATTCAAGATAATTTCTTCCAACTTCCTGGCTGCAGTATTGCTAACTCCAAACATTTTATTTCTTTAAATTTAAAACAATTTCGAAACAGAAAATGTAGGAACCAGTGAGAGGGACCAAAGAAATGAGTAGTCCACATACTTTTCATTTTAAGGATAAAATCAACATGAGAGGTAAGTGAAATATTCAAGCTAACAAGTTATATCAAATTTCAAAGCAAAAAAAAAGCAAATTAGGTTATTTTATATAAAACCACCAGAATGTGGCACAGAATAAAAATTTACCAATGTTTTGCAAATTGGTCATCTGAGAATGGGTTGATAAAAACTCAGTTTCCTCTTTTGACAGGTTTTCTTTGGTAAATTCAAGTTTCACACCATTTGTTTGTCGTCCTTGGACCTTTGAAAACAACAAAAGAGTAATGACATAAATATATAATACTTCAAAATCTATATTAAAGTGACTTTGCATTTAAGATGTTTTTTCACAAGCAGCCAGATTTGCGATGGTCTGATATAAACATTTTCTCTTCTAGATTATCTCTGTTCTCTTTTGACAAGTGACTTATATCCTATTCCTTTCATAGAACAATTATATTAGTAATGTTAATATCCAGAAAAGTTTATTTTCACAAAAATGAGTGCGTCACAAAATTCTAGTAGAAAGCTCATCACAATACCTGTGACTTCATCTCTGAAATTTCAATTCACACAGTAATTTTTTTTATTATAAATATTCAGTAACTTATTCATCTCTGGAGAGCAGGTAACTGACAAATGGTATGTTACATTTTACAATAAACACATGGAAGGAAAATAATAAAAGCAGATAAATCTTGGCTCATTTCTTTATTAAAACTAGGAAGCAATATGTCATAAATTAATTTATTCAATCATCAAATATCTAACAATCTGCACTATGACACCAGAGAATAAGAATATAAAATCAGTAAAAATAAAAATATGGTGCAGATGCCCTCACAGAATTTATCAACTAGTTGAGGAAATAAAAGTAAACCATTCTAAAAAGAACTAAGTTATAAAATTTGAATATAAAGCTAATGAAACAGAAGAAAGACTAATGTGGATCTGAGTAACTATGAAGGAGTCAAATTCTATTTGGGCCTCAATCTTTTGGGGACTGATTTAGAAAGGCTAAAGGAAGAATGAGTAAGAGCATTTGTGAAAGAGCCAGTTTGGGAACAGTTTGGGATACGCAGTACATTCAAGACCAGCCTGAATTACACTGCAAGACCCTGTCTCAAAAGAAAAAAAGAAAAAGGAGGAGGAAGAGGAGGAGAAGAGGAAGAAGAGAAGAAATGTCCTATGCTATAAGTAGTGAAGACAATGATCTTGTTGAAAGGGGCTTAATTTGGATAAAAAGGAGGAAATAAAGCTAGATAAACAAGGCATATCTAAATTACAGAGGGGAAACTTTGAACTCGCTAGACCATATGAACAAAGGATACTACAATAGCAGATGGGTAATAGAATAAAAGCTATTCCCACAAAGGCTGTTTCACTACTCATCAACTGTCCTCTGCCCTACTCCTTCCTCCCGAGTACATCTCAACAGATTTTTCCTCCTTCCAAGAGAAAATTAAGATCATCAGGTAAATTCTTAAGTTTCCAGCTCAACATTTTTATATCTTCAACTAACCTATTGAGTAAGGGTTCACTAAGCCTTCAATGTAGGCTAAGTACTGTGCCAAGAGGAAGAAGTAAAAAGATTCCCTAATTCTGAAGGTTTAGAATCCACTGAATGGCAGAGGAGTAAACAGGTAATTACAACAGCATGAGAATGTGGTACAATCAAAAGGGTGTACAAGGAACTATGGGAACATGATAGACAGAAGGATTATCAAGTATTTAAGTTTATAGATGCTAGGGAGTGAAGGAAGAATAGTCTAAGTTTAGGAAAATAGGTCAAGAAGATGACACTGAGGGAGTAATTTCTGAACCAACTGTAAGAAGTGGGAACAAACCACACTCCAGTAGGATATACAGTATTAGGCAGAAAGAACAGCATTAAAAAAAGCCCACAGCTGTAAAGACTGGGATTCATTTGGTAAACTAAGTACTCCAATAAGGCTGAAGTGAGGATTAAAAGGTTTCGTAGTGAGGTACTGCAGTCCTGTCTCTGATATCAAACTCTGGGATGCATCTGCAACTGCAGCTAACTTACTGTGTTAAAATACAAAATTTGCTCATTACCCATTGTGCAGAAGAGTTAACATAGCAGTCCTGCGACTGGCTATCTTTAGAAAGGTCTGCTAGTAAATTCTGTCCTTGGCTGGAATCTGTAAACTTAACAAGTGAACAGTTCCTTACACTAATATAAAACTTTGCCTAAATGGTAATAAGCATGCCTAGGCTGTCTAAATGTTATGGTTTGTACTGAATATATGTTTACCATCTGGAAGTCTAGTTTGGTATACACTGGGCAGGGTGCAAACTGATGTATGACAGGAAACTGGATTCCTGGCCTTAGTTGAGTTTCTCTGGTAGGTAGCACTTTGCATATGTTGCCAAACTCAAGCTGAAGGAATTAAAGTATGTCCTATAAATCCACTGGGAGAGGAAGTTTGTGCCTGATTTCCTCCAGATTTTGTGCCATGCACCATTTCAAACTTTTCCAAAGTGGATTTTCCTTTGTATCCTTTGCCATACAGCATCTTAGGCTTAAATATGTTAACTTCTGTTTTTCAGTTTTTATTTTTTATTAGTACATGTTTACAGTACATGATTACTTTCCTTTTAGAGAGGTGGTACATATATACCAACAGATCTCAATTCTTTTCAATTTCCCTTCCTTCACTCCTTCCTCCTCCATCTCTTGATCCTTTTCCCATTAGAAAAAGATCTCCCTATTTTCTATTATCTTCTATTTTGCCCTTTAATTACATTTTGGGTTTCTTGAATAAGAAATTTCTCTAATATGGGACCGGGGATTGAGCTCAGTGGTTTTGCTGCCTGCTGTGCAAGCACAAGGACCAGAGATTGATCCCCAGTACCAAAAAAAAAAAAAAGAAAAGAAATTTATCTAATGTGTCTGATTTATTTTATATATTATGATCTCAAGGTGCATCTATTTTCTTACAAAGGACTCAAGTTTATCCTTATGGGACAGTAGTACTCTAAGGTATATAAATACATTTTCTTTATCCATGCATTTACTAATGGACACATAGGCTGTTTCTAAGATTTAGCTACTATGAACTATACTGCTATAAACTTGTGTATTCGTGTATCACTGCACATGAGCAGTGTACCTGCATAACTCTTTTAACTCTTTTGGGATGATACCTTGATGGGGATTAGTTGGTCAAATGGAATTTCTAGTTTTAGTTTTTTGAAGACTCTCCCACACTGATTTCGATACTGGTTGTACTAACTTACATTCCCACCAGCAACAGAGAAGGGTCTTTTTTCTTAGAGCTTTCCATCATTTGTTATTATTTGGTTTCTTGATGATAGCAATTCTTTCTGGAGTAAGATAGAAGCTCATTAGTGTTTTAATTTCAACTTCTCAAATGGACAGTGTTATTCGATATTGTTCATATATTTATTGGTCATTTGTACTTCTTGGGAAACGTCTATTCATTTCGCTTGCCCATTTTTTGAGTCTTTTATTTTGGGGCAGTCTAACTTCTTTGAGCTCTTTATATATTCTAGAATGGATCATATAGTCCTCCATCTGAGGAATAGCTGGTAAAAATTTTTCCCATCCTGCAGGTTGGTTCTTCACTACATTGGTTGTTTCCTTTGCTATGCAAAAGCCTTTTTAATTTGCTATGATCCTATTTGCTGATTTTTGGTGTTATTTATTGTACTATTGGGTTTTGTTCAGAAAGTTTTATGCCTATTCCTATGTCTTTAAGAGTTTCACTTACTTTATCTTCTGGTAGGTAAAGTGTTTCTGTTTTAACATTTAGAACTCTGATCTATTTTAATTTTAGTACATGATGAAATATATAATCGACTCAATATCCTGTATTCAGATAGCCAATTTTCCCAGCACCATTTATTAAAGAGGTTATCTTTCCTACACTGTTTTTGGCCCCTTTGTCACGGATCAAAAAGCTCAATGTGCCTGGGGTTTTTGTTTCCTCTATTCTGTTCCACTGATCCTCCTGTCTGTTTTTATCCCAGTGTCATGCTGCTTTTATCACTAGTTTTGTAATATAACTTCAAGTCCAGATTATGATGCCTCCTGCTTTGCTTGTGCAACCTCTTCTGATTCCATATGAATTTTAGGATTCTCTTTGTGAGAATTGTTTGTATCTTGATTAGGATTGCCTTAAATCTATGCTATCAGTTTTGAAGTACGGCCATTTTGACAATATTCGTTCTGCCTATCAAAGAACAGGGGATAGCTTTCCATTTTCTGATGTCCACTTCAATCTCCTTTTTCAGAGTACTTTAGTCTTCTCTGGAGAGGTCTTTCACTTACTTGGTTAGGTTAACTGCTAAATATTTAATTTTTCTTAATGTTACTGTGTATGGTATTTTTTTCCTAATTTCTTTCTCAGTGAGTTAGTGTACATCAACACTATTGTTTTTTAACTGTTGATTTTATCCTGCTACACTGCTGAATTTAGTTATTAATTCTAGAAGTCTTTCAGTGGAATTTTTTGGGTCTTCTGTGTAGAGGATCATGTCATCTGCAAATAATAACATGACTTCTTCCTTTCCTATACATATTCTTTTTTTCTTTCTGTTGCCTGATTGCTCCAGCTAAGGTTTTGAGTTCTACACTGAATAGGAGTGGTGATAGTGTTGTACCTAATTTTAGAGAGAAAGCTCTTTTCCTCCACATAACATGATGTTGGTAGTAGGTTAGTCATAAATGGCTTTTGTCAGAATGAGATATAGTCATTCTATACCTATTTTCTTCATTGTTTTTATCATGAATGGAAGCTGGATTTTGTCAAAGGCTTTTTCTGCATCTATTGAAATGATCATATGATTTTTGTCCTCACTTCTGTTTACACATTACATTTATTGATTTGTATTTGGTGAACCACCCTTACATCCTTGGGATGAAGCCTACAGGGTCATGATGTATGGTCTTTCTGATGATGTTGCATTGTATGCCAGTACTTTTTTGTGGATTTTTGCATCCACATTTATTAAAGAGATTGGTGTAAGGGCCAGGGATTTAGCTCAGTGACACCATGCCTGTCTCCCAAGCACAAGGTCCTGTGCTCGATCCCTGGTACCCCCTGCCCCCCAAAAAAGACGCCTGTTGTTCTCTTTTTTTTGGTTGGGTCCTTTTCTAGTTTTGGAATCAGGGAAATGCTAGCTTCCAGGAATGACTCTGGAAACACTCCTTCCCTTTTGATTTGATTAAAGAATCTGAGGTTTGGGGAATTAAATCTTCCTAGAAGTTCCCATAGAATGCAGCAGCTAATCCATCAGGACTTGGGCTTTTCTCAGATGGTAGGGTTATTTTTTATTACTGTCTCAATTTCACTGCCTGTTACTGGATTATGCAGGATTTTAAAATTCTTGATTCAGTTTTGATAATTCATATGTAACTAGAAATCTATCCATTTCTTTTGAATTCTCCAATTTATTGATGTACAGGTTTGTGAAGTAGCTGCTAATAATCTGGATTTCGGTGGTAACCATTGTGATTTCATGTTTTTCATTTCTAACTGCATTGATTTGGATCTTTTCTTTCCTTTTTTGGGTAAGATTGGCTAATTTTGTTCATTCTTTCAAGAGCCAGCTCTTTAATTCATTTTTTGTATTTTTTTGTCTCAATTCCACTGATTTCTGCTCTGATCTTTATAATTTCCGTCCTTGTACTTGTCAGCAACACCACAGAAATGATGACTGGCAGTAAAGGTCCCCAGTAGAAGAACACTGCTCTCTAAATACTCTTCCTGCTACTCCACCCTCCTCCTCGCATCCCAAACATTGACAAGTTTTTGTGATTTTTAAAATTTTTCTCCTCCTGTCCAAACTTCCTAAGTATATCAAAATAATCTGGAACTGTAATAAAACGATTTTTTACAGTTAAAAAAAAAACCTCTTAGTAGCCACATTATGCTGATCTCAGTGAGAGAATCTGTTTTCATTAGTACTAAGGTCAAGAGTATTCTTTTTTGTGGTCTCTGTTTTATTCCAAGTATATTTAGGCTATTCTTAGGTATTACCTTTGTGTAAGTCACTACCCAATTTCTTCTGTGAATTTTCTTTTTGGCAGGGACAGTTTACAGGCTTGTTTTTCGTAATATAGTAAGTCCCCGACTTAACAAACATTTGAATTGTGAATTTTCATGGGTGTACTGTATAAGTCACAGGTGTACTGTATAAGACTCATTTTGTCAGATTATGAATGAATCTGACTTATGAATGTTCTCCTGGAACAAACTCGTTCGTAAGTCAGGGACTTACTGTATAGTCAATGCCAAGGAGAGAGTAGCTGAACAAGCCATTGAAAGTGTCGTTAGTAGAGAAAATAAAATTCTTACTAAGGAAATTTGGCCTTTTGACAGTCGAGCTTCAAATTCAAGTTCAGTTCTTCTCCCAAATAATGCTCTTTTAATAAAATCTAAATAACATCTGACATTTTTAGAAGTAATTACCTCCCGTTATAGTTTTGAAAACAATTCTAAGTATTAATATTTTTCCCTTTCAGGATAATAAGATCCAGTAATCTGTAGGGCACAAAGTTTTCTTTACCCATGGGAAATATAATTTCATAATTACTGAACAACTGTACAGAGTACTAAACAGCTTACAACAAAATGACATTATAAAGCTTACTTTTATAAATCTAAAATTCTCAATAAAGTTAATCTCATGTCTTTACAAAGAAAATGTGAGAACATTAGTATTTTTTTATTTCCTGAGCTGAATACACAACATAAAACTAAGAAAGGAACCAACATTTAAGATTGTTAAATAGTAAATGAGACACAAATAAGAACTGACTGAAAGGGTTAACTTTTTTCTCTTGTAATGATGTGAATTCATCTTTTATGAAGGTGAAAACTTTTTAGTGTGAAAAGTACATTTACACTGTGCTTTATCATGTGTAAATAAGCACACGTACCTGTTCTGCTTTAAGTACATGAAGTTCCTGCTGGAGTTTATCATTTTCATTTGGTTCAGATGCCTCAAGCAATGATTCATTTATCACTGATGACAAAAACAATTGTTCTTGCTTGCTTTCTTTTCTAAGAGTCATATTTTCTAAAGGAATTTTATCTTTCAACACTATTTTTGATTCTTCACCAAAATCTTCACTTACTTCAAAAACTGATCCTCCAGAATACTTGTCTATCCTTGTCACAACTCCATCTTTTAAAGAGCTTAATTCAACATCACACTCATTTACATTTTCTGCCCTATTATGGTTAATTATGATTTCTAGCTCTCTACATCTCAAGAAAAGTTGCTCCTTCTCCTGCTTTAGAGATTTAACTTCTTCATTCATTAAAGTAACCTCGCCATGTTTCTGTTTTAATTGCTCAGAGAGATTCAATAACTTTTCTGTCAGTTCTAATTTTTCTCGCTTGGTTACCTCAAGTTTTTCCATAAGTTCTGTGGTATCTTTCTCAACAACCTCACCAATTTCCAATGGCTCTGCTACAAAAGTGTTGTCATCAACAAAGATGGAACTTTTCATTTTCACCACAGTTGGATTTATTCTTTGCAAATGAAGCTTTTCATTAAGTGCTTTAAGTTTACTTTCATACTCCAATTCTTGTTTATTTTTACTATCTTCTAAATCATCTTTTACTTTGAGAAGGCAAGCATATTCTTCCTGTAACTCTTGATAGTTAACTTCAAAGTTTTTTTCAGCAAATGAGAAAGTATTCCTTTGTTTTTCAATCTCTTCATTTAGCTGAATACATTGTTGTTTGAGGTCCTTGTTCTCCTCTGTAAGAATTTCTCTTTCTTTCTGCCAGTTATAGTCTTTGGATTTGGACTTAATGGAGTCTATAAAAATAAATCTTTCTTGTTGGTTAGCAGGAGTATAAGTTTTCAACATATCTTCAAGGGCTTTCTTCTCATCTTTAAGAGTGCTATTCTCTGCTTCGAGTTGTACAAATTTTTCTTGAAGATCATTCTCTTTTTCTTTCATTTGTTTCTCCAAGAATTCGGTTTTAAGTTGTAATTCTTGAAGTTCTTGTTCAAGAGTACCCTTTTCTTTTTCTTGTCTGAGCATTTCAATTTCTTTTTGAAGTTCATTAATTTGAAGAGTCATTTCTTCTGACTTTGAATTCAAAAGGGACTGCTGTAAATCTTTTAGCTTTGAAATTTCCAAAATTAACTGATTCTGCTTAGTTATCAAATTGTCTTTTTCAAACTGCATTGTCTCTATCTTTTGACTCATTTCATTCTGTAAGCTATCTATCTGCTGTTTATAGTGAATGCCTAAGTTATCTTTAAGTTTTTCAATATTTAGTCGATGCTCAATTTCTAAATCTTCCTTTAGTTTAGAAAGTTCTTCTTCATGACTAAATAGGAGCTGTGTTCTCAGCCTCTCTAATTCAGCTTCTTGTGATTCAGCCATTCTGTCTAACACGGCATTCTTTTCTTTTTCTAACATTTCAAGTTTTATCTTGTAATTTGTAACTTCAGCTTCATGTTTTAACTCTAGTTCCTTCCTGGATTCAGATGCAGAAACAATTTCAGCTTTCAAATCTTCCACTGTACTAAGAGACTTACGTGTTTCATTCAGTTTGTTTTCCTGTTCGGCTATTGTCTGTCTAGCTCTTTGAATTTGATCCCTTAAAAAGCTCAATTCTTCAAACAGGTCTTCAAGCTGTCCCTGCAAAGCAGACTTTTCTCCTGAAACTACTCCTAGTTCTTCCTTGAGTTTTTCCTTTTGAGAGTTACTATCTTGTAGTTTTATATTCAGTTCATTTATTGCCACATTCATTAACTTTACTTGATCTTCATTCACTGTAATATTTGAATATGATTTTAAAGCAGTCTCCATTTCTCGCATTTGACATGTTTTAAGTTCCTCTATCTGTGACACGTGTTGTCTTATTAATTCTTGCTTCATCTGAACTATCTGCTGCCCATACATCTCATCCAGCTCTGCTCGAAGTTGTTCTAACTTTCTTTGTGTTTCTTGTTCCATTCTCTGCACTGTGTCAATTTCAAATTGGCTATCTTTATGATTTCTCTTCTGAAGTTCTTCAACTGTCCCCATTAACTGTTTTATTTCCTCAGAACACTGTCTTTCTTTTTGCTTACAATTGGTCAACTCTAATTTTATATTTCTTATCTCTTGGTTCTTTTGTACAACCTGTTCTTGTAATTCTTCTAGTAATTTATCAGTAGCTGCTATTTTATCCTTTAGCTCAAGAGTTTTTCTTTCTTCTTCTATTACTTTTGTATTTAATGCTTCAATGATTGCTTCTTTTTCCTGTATGTCTTTTTTATCTGAGTTTTCTACTTTTTTGTCTTGTTCCTTTAAAGAAAAAAAGAAAATATAAAAATGACATTTTTAGCATCTGGCACCTTCTACTGCTTAACTAATACAAAAAGACTTACAGAAATTTTCTTTTTTACATACTTTCATAAAACTGCTGGGCCTGCTCCTCACTGTTTCCCTAAGATTTACACACTCAACAGTACTTGTGAGCAAACACTTCTTCTTAGGAAGAAGATATTTCTCCTATATTATGATTAAAATTTTAGATTTAAGATTTGCCTAACATATATGAGATCCTGGGTTTGATCCCCAGCAGCACCCCCAAAACAAAACCAAAAACCTCACAAAAAAATCCAGTCTAAATTAAAATGTCTAAACTATATTTTCATTTTTCTTATTAACTGACCATCATTGTAAGTGTAGTATTTTTGAGTTATAGAACTGCACACTCCCTAGACATTCTCAAAAGAATGCAAAAAATAAATCAAGGTTCCTCCACGGATTCTTGTGACTTGACAGTTGTTTCATAGGCAAGTGTGATAAAAATGAGAAAAACAACAGCAACAAAAACAGACTCATGTGGGTATGCCTTAATTTCATTCCTGGGGTCTTAATCAGAAATTTAGAGATATGCCATGTTTAAGAGTCTGAACTTCAAGTGACACCCAAAGCAATCATAGTATTTATGGTGCCTCAACTCCACCCTCAATTTTTAGATCAAACAGAAATTTAACAGCAGAGAACATATTTTTCCCCCAGTTCTTATTTTCGGACTCAATTTTGGAACTACAGTTAAGGCTAAGCCCAGATACACACCAAGCCATGTTCATTACTATAATTATTTCAAAGTAAAGACTGGGATCAAATTTTGGCTCGATTACTTACTACAGTGGTCCCTCAAGTTACAACCAAGCTGACATACAAACAACTTGCGTTAATTAGGTTAATGGAAGATTCATCTGCCTCTTGTTATCTATAGCACGTACCCAGGTAAAGATCCAAAACTCAGCTGTACTGGTGGTTATAACCAGCCCTCAGGAACTGATCGAGTTTGTAAGGCAAGGTTCCACTGTAGTCCCAAAGACAAATTATGAAAAGAGCAAGTTTTACAGCTAAGGCTGATGGCCACTTGGTCTTCTTCCTTGGATTATACCCAAATGAACACTACCAACATATCTGAGGCTTTGATATTTAGGCTTTGATACTCTTTGTTTAGATGTGTTAATACATTCATTCAAGTGCCTACAAGTCCTGGCTCCTCAAGGTCATTTACTTACCTACTTATGTTCTGATCAATTTTGTGGATTTTCCTTCTTTCTTTCAGTGTCTTCAATTTGTATAGTTCCTATTTTTCAAAGAGCATCCCCAGGAGTCAACTGAGGTTTGAAATCTGGCTCTGTAAACTTATTACCTGTGTACCTATATACTGTTCTACATCTTGCTTTGAATTTGTGTCCTCTTTTAAAATGGAGGTAATAATACTGTGTTCCCCTGAAAATAAGACCTAGTTGGGAAATAATCAGCCTTGAAAACTAGAGAACAAAAATGCCAGCCCCAATCAGCCTATCCTGGCCTTACCTACTATCACTGTTCTTTTGCGTGATAGTTCCTCTGTAAGGCAGGTAAGGCCAGGATAGGTTAACTGGGGCTGGCATTTCTGATCTCTAGTTTTCAAGGCTGATTGTTTTCTAGCTAACGTCTTATTTTTGGGGAAAGAGGGTAGCACTTCTATCTCATAGGATTTTAGTGATGACTCAATTCATTAATATGTGTAAGATGCTGTGAATACTACCTGTTGTGGAGTACTTAATAAATGCTAGCTAATACTTTTATTATCCAAACAATACTATCATCTTGGTAATTTCCTAGCTTCTTAGAGAAGAACCTCCTAAGTTTATAAAATGTACTGTCCATCTTCATTATTCACTGTTTTGTATTTACAAATTTGCCTACTTCCTAAAATGTATTTGTAACCTTCAAATAAATACCAATGATGCTTTCATAGTCATATACAGATATGTACACAGTGGCAAAACATTTGAGTTGCTATACACATGTTTTCAGCTGAGGTCAAACAAGTTGATCACACCCTGCTTTGTTTCAGCTCCCATAGGGAGAGGACCACAGGATGAAGAAGACAGAGGATAAGAAGCTCTGGCACTGGGCCGGTTGAATGGGGTTTAAATACCAATTCTGGTATCCGTTAGTGTGGCAGCCTCAGGCAAATCACTTCTAAAGTTTAATTTCTTTATTCAAAAACAAACAAAATACAATCTACCAGCTTGAATTACTTTTAGGATTTAAGACTATAATCTATGTATTATGTATTTCCTATCCTACAAGCACTTATTTGATAAGCTCCCCTAAAACCAGAATGTAACTTAATAAGGAAAAAACTGAATTCTAATAAAAACCTATAAAATTTCTAGAATTTCATAATCATGGCAAAAATAAGTGGAAATATTTTTACGTGGAGGGAAAAAAAGGACAGAAATTCTAGTTATTAATTTAGATTCTCCACAGAATTCAGTTTAACATATGCTGGTCACTTTTAAGAAATACAGTAATGAATACTGTTATCTTAAAAACTGTTATTACTGTGAGATTTTCAGTTGCTTTTGAAATAAATTACACTTACAGAATCAGTATTATGAAATTTTGTGATTAGCACCAATATAAAACCTTTAAAGTTAAAAGCTATTACAAGTTGGTTGAGTTCCTTAAAATACACATACCATTTCATATATTTTAATTTTTTCTTCCAAGAAATTAATTTGCATTTTGAAGTCTTCTTTCTTTTTTTGATAATCTTCTAGTAGATGGTCTTGTTCTTCCAGCTGCTGCTGATGAGTCAGGATCTGTTGTTTGGCTTGTAGTAAATCTGCCGCTGTGCTACTATGAGTGCTGTTTCTCAGAGTTTCACTAGCCTGTAACTTGAAAATAGAAAGAAACCTCAGAATATTAAATTCTGAAGTAACCGGAGAACAAGAATCTTTCAGGGCATGACTCAGCCCATACTGGTGGTTCTCAGGGATGTATACACACTTCACAGGCTTGAAATCTCAGCAAACATGCTGCCATGGCTGACTGGGTAACGTGCACATCACCAAACATGCGCCAGGAAAAGTATCTTTCACATGATAAAGCAGAGAAAGTACATCTAGTAAGGGAAATAAGATTGAGGTGACATAATGAGAGAAGGGGGGCCTCAAAGACAGTACTTCCTGAATTCCTGATGACTTTCCAGACTCTCATCCTAAGACCTTACAGAGGCTTGATTATATTTCTGCCCTTGAGTTCTGTGAGACAAGACTATACCCTTATAATACACTTCTCCATTTTGCTTAAGCTATTTCAAATTATTTTCTGTCATTGCTGCCAGAAACCCTGACTAATGCAACTAGATTCCTGTGGCTTTAATTAAAGATAAATGGAGGGTGCTTGCTTCGGCAGCACATATACTAAAAAAGATAAATGGAGGGCCAGGGATTTAGCACAGTGGTTCCAGCGCCTGCCTCACAAGTGCAAAATCTCTAGTTCGATCCCTGGTACAAAAAAAAAAAAGGATAAATGGAATATATTCAACACTAGTTACCATTTTAGAACCTAAATAAAATAAAACTTCACCATGGTCAGTCAAGTTAGGATACAAAACTCTACTCAATCCACCTGATAAGACTTTGTGAATTTCAAAAGAGACAAGCAAGAAGTAGTACAAAGAGAATAACAGCAAGAAACCACTCAGGAAGTATTGATATTGATTAGTTTTTCCAGTGTGATATAATAAACAAAGAGCTTTGTAACAAATTTGTTCTGGAAAGTGAAAACAACTTTAAATTCATTATCAGAAAAACTACTTAATCTAGTAATACTTACATGCTGGAACTGAATCTGTAACTTTTGACTCTGCTCTGTCAACTCTAAAAACTCTCTCATTGTCTCATCCTTTTCTCTTCTTGCTTGCTGTAAATTAGCAGTGAGCTGGGTAATGATGCCATCTCTTTGTTTAATGGCAGCTTCAAACTCTTGTAACTAAAGGAAACCAGGAAGAGAATTAAGTGCTAGGGTTATTTTTTAAGCAGAATTATTATCACAGGTAACTGCTCTTCAAAAATACGAGATTTAAAACACACTGCAAGAATTCTTGCAATCTGAAAGCAATCTTCCATATTAGAAAGCTATTATTTTGTAGAAATTGGCTCTGTTTCCAAATCAACTTTGAAAATATTTATCTGCACTAAGGAAAAAAAATACATTTGGTCTGGTTTTTCTACACACCTATTTTCAGAACAACAAGAGTCTTTACATTGTGGGGTGCCCCTAATCTGTCCTGAGGCAACATCATCAGATACGTTTAATTCCAACTTGTTTCTGAAGGGGAGAAAATGGAAATACACTGTTCATCCTTATCAAATGTCCCATTTCATAACTGATTGTTCTAGATATCAGAAGTTACTCTAACTACAGATAGTACTTATAAAGGCTTGTTGACATTCTTAATGGGTTTAAATTATAATTTTTTTAAATTAAATTCTTTTATTGGTACATCTTAGGTATACAACACAATTACATTTCTCATTGGGAATTGTACCTTTACATAATGCATCTTGGTTCTTATTTTTTCCCCATTCCTAGCCCTCCCTTCACCCCCTCCACCCTTCCATATTTACAAAGACTTTATTTCCATTTTTTCCATTTCTCATCATTTTTCCTTTCCCTTCTTTTCTTTCCCCTGCCCCTCCCACTACCCCTACCCCTTTGGACCTTTTCTTCCTATTTTGCATTATCAATTATTCATTCTAATCATGGGTACAATTTAGGTATACAATATAATGACATTCATCATTGGAAATTTGCACCTTTACATAATCTCTCTTGGTTCTTAAGTTATAATTTTTATAGGTGCACTATAATTTTCTTTCAGGCTGATTAGAAAAACATGTCCTGCTGAAGTGATTTCACCTTAGCTATCATATGAATTTAAATATAAGAAATACACCTATTTTAGTCATCTTAGTGGGATCCTAGTGTTAAACAGCATTGTTCATGCTATATTGTCAGCACAAAAATTATGAGATAACCCTAAGTAACCATTTAGAAATCCCTTCTTTAAAGCATATACAGATATTATCATTCAAATTTCCCATTTCTGGCTGAGTAGCAAACCAAAAGCCACAGGTACCTGCTGAAGTCCTTCAGTCCCATAGGTGGCCCTCATTTCTTCTAGTTCTCTGTTTAGCTCTTCAATCTCATGCTGTTTCCCAGCCAATTCATTTTCCATCATCTCTAGATGGGTCTGACTATACTGCGCAACTTGTTCAGAGCAAGAATCATCAACACCAAATTCTTCTTCCTAAATGAATCCAAGATTTTAAATAATTCAGTACTAGCAACATTCCTCAGAGAGAAAGAGAGATTCAAATATTGAATTCCATAGCAAAGATCACTTTAAAATATCACTCATCTCCTGGAAATTTGCTGCTACGGCAATGTACTTTGTTGTACATGTGGTATGTACCTTATGAGCATGAACAGGATATCTGCAAATTTCATTTTGAGCATTACAATAAAAAGTGGCTAACTTAAACATTGAAAGCACTAAAATATCACATACAGAAAGAAGGACATGCAGGAAAAAAACTGTTAGTAAGCCAGATGGTCTTAAATAGTATAAAAGATTAGTATTATGAGTAGTTTCAAATACTGTACCCTTAATAAATTTGTAGCCTTTCCTGTTTTCACCAAAAAACTGCAACCATTTACCTGTATAAAAACAATTTCCTGATATATTATGATCTTAGACAGCACTTTATTTACCTAACAATATTATTTCTACTAAATAATTTATCTGCATCTTTTACATCTAGAGAAAATGTCCTATTGACAAAAACAGGTACAGTAATTAAATAGAGATGAAGTATCTAAAAAAGACATTATGACCATTTCAAATGCTAATCATTTCTCAAACATGAGTGCTTTTAATATAAAAGATATTATACTACAGATTTCCATTTAAGCAAATTAAAGTTCTAAGTGTAGTTTCTATTTGGTCTTCAGAAGGATAACTGTAAATCACAAGTTACTATATTTCTACGAAACGCTTTCTTAACATCATTTAAATAGTTGTTTTTTATTAAGCTTTATTCATTTTCAAGTAAAACTATTCACTGCTATAATTTTCTTAGAGGCTGGTAAGCAAGCCAAGTAAAAGTAAAGGACATAAAGAGGTGAAGAGAACTGCCCCAACAACATTCCTCTGGGGAGAGTACTACTGATATTCAGGCCAACTCTGACAGGCTTTCTTTAACATATCACTAACCATCTCTATAATAGATATAGTAAGAGAAAGAAGTATGGCAGAATATGTCAACAGGTTTACCTAGTGGAAAATTAATTTCAGATCAATTAATCTACTTAATAATTCCCTTTCTTCCACTGATAGTACAAAAAACAATTCACCCCTGCCCATATCTTAATTATTACAATTCTACAATAACAGAATCAAAGGTAATGAAACTGTTACTGTAAAAATATATAGGATAGAATAACCTAGATTTTGGATTAGATCCATAAAGGTCATAATACTTTAAAAAGTGAAAACCTTGGGGGGCCAGGGATTTAGCTCAGTGGCACTGTGCCTGCCTTGCAAGCGCAAGGACCCAAGTTAGATCCCCAGTACCAAAAAAAAAAAAAGTGAAAACCCTGGTGATGTAGCTCAGTAGCAGAGTACTTGTCTGGTGTATACAAGGCCCTAGTTCAATCCCTAGCTCAAAAAAAAGGGAAGAAAGATCTATTATAGAGAGAGTTCTTTATCAGAGTTGGATCATTTCTGAAAAACAAAGCTGAAGGGCTAGAGATGTAGTTCAATAATGAAGTGTTTGCCTAGTACGAAGGAAAGGCTGTGGGTTCACACACACACACACAAAGAAAAAAACTTTTAAGCTAGCACATTACATTACTGTAATTGGTGAAAACTACAGAATGCAGGAAGCTAACTCTTAAAATTATTAATATCAAATCACTTACAAATTTTTACTTTGAAGTAATAGTATAATAAAATAGATGTTTATATATGTATGTCTCTATATTAAGCAAAGGATATTCCTTTAAGTTATGATGTTATCAGTATTATTCATATGTCATCCATTTATAATTACTAGTTGTATCTAATACATTCTACAGGTAATCAGAAGTTTAATTCTTCTCTAATTCAATCAAGCAAATCTCATACTGCCCCCCCGTGCAGTGGTCAGGTTGTTTCCTAGGTGTTCTTTTGGTCATCAGGCAGCAAGCCTATTGAAGACTGTCTTACTCAACCTTCTTACCTACAGTTATTTTCATGACCTTACAGAGGTTCTCAAATTTCCTGTTGCTTTCCTCTATTTTCGTCTCATCCTTGTCTTCAGTTATTTCCTGGCCTTCCTTGCTGACATCAGTCTCTCTCCATCAAACTCCTGGAGCTGCTCAACACAGGACTTACCAATAGGCCCAGTTATATATACCATCTCAAAGTGCCATTCTTGTAGTTGGTCCACAAAAAGAATAATCTGCTTTTTACTACTGCCAGTGATGTGACAGATGGACTTCTGCATCACCCTTAAATGTGACCTAAAAGTCATCTCACCTCTAGTCCGAGAAATGAGATAGCACGGCAAATCAGAAAGGTGTTGCCAGGTACTAGAATCCTCAGGGATTCCAAATTTTAGAGTTCTTAGAAAATATCACAAAATTTCTTGTGCTTCTCTTTATCTTCTACTACCTCAAAGAAGAGCTCAAGGTTCTTCTTAACAATGCTTTTGCAAGTATCTTTCATGAATTTGCTCTGGTGGAGCATTTTCTTGGGAAATGTTCAGGACCAGTTCCTCAGAACCAATCATACTAAGGAGAAAGCTGAAATACTATGATATCAACTTATCACAGCTGTCCCTGATGAACACAGAACAGATGGAGTTTGATGCTCTTGTTCTTAAAGAGGTCAACGGAAGCTTGCCAAGGGATGACTAGCAAGCAATACTATGAATTCCAACTAACCTTCTATAGAAAGTGCCTGACTGCCAACTGCTTTTCCCAGTCACTGATAAGGCTCTTGTAGAAATCTTCACACTCCTGAATGATGTCATCATGGTTTCCCATCTAAGTGGGCTTAGTCTTATTTAGTTCTTTCTGATCAATATATTTCTCTTAATCATCTTTGGTATCTTGTTCTTATCCTTTTCCACTGTCATCCTCCTCATCTGAGCCCATAGCTTCAAATGGGGGCTTTGCCTCACCATCCTTAACTTCCTCTTCTTTGTCATCTTTCTCTTCTTCTGCCTTGTCATCACTGATTTCCTTCTTCCAAACTTTCTCCAAGTAAAAGGTAACAGGATAGCCTGTGAACTGTGAGTGCTTTCACCGCTTCTTTGAACTACTTCTCTAAGTACTCTGTCTGGTCTTCTTTAAGGTAGAGGATCACTTTGGTATCCCAGTCAATAGGATCTAGGAAGCTGGCAAGTACAGTGAAGGATGCCCCAGCAGAAGACTCTCAGGCAGGGCTGGGGATTTAGCTCAGTGGTTCCGGCATCTGCCTCGCAAGCACAAGATCCTGAGTTCGACCCCGGTACCACCAAAAAAAAAAAAAAAAAGAAGACTCTCAGGCATACTCTTCATTGTCATTGTGCCTTGTGATCTCAACTACTTCTGCTGCCACTAGATACGCAGAAAAAAAGTCAAAAACAAACTGCCCAACCATAGAGATATCTGCACCAGCCTAAAGAGTCTCCATAAATGCTTTAGCACCAGACTTGGCAATACCTAATTATTTATGAAGTCAGTCTTGTTCATGCTAATGCCTGTGTCTACCAAAGTCAGGTCGCATTGCTAAGGATTAGGGATGATGTCAACTTTCAGCTCTTTACCACTGTCTCTCTTACAAGGGTCTGTCTGGTTGTCACTGAGAATCTTATCAAAGGCATCAGAAGCGGTAAAGATAAACTCCTGAAGGAAAACTTCTTTGTTGGAATAGAAGATATTAATGATGAGAGACACGAATTGAAAATTCTGCCTGAAAGGCAAAAGTCTCTACTGCCTCCTCCCCATTGTGCATTTCCTCATGCATCTTGAAGGGAAAAGGCTGCAAATACTAGAGAATACTATGGGCCCAGACTCTGTTCAGTTTGCATGTGGCACAAGGGGATGACTCAAAACATAATTATCTTTTAGTTCCATGTAATCTCTCAAGTCACTGTTTTTCCCACAAGTATAAGACAGTTAATTTTTTTGACCAGGATTGAAAAGAAAAATGATCACAGGATATGTCTTATCATATCTTTCCTGAAACACACACACACACATGTATATTCATGTACATAACTACATATACGAAACTATACATATATAAGTAAAACATATTTCTTACTATAAGCCATGGTCACCAAGTATAATAACTGCTATTCTAAGTTTTATCTGTAGTGCTTATATTTAAATTCTATTTGTACCTTACTTTGAAACACATTATATTTACTAGGTATCACAGATAAATAATTTTAATACAGTTTTTGGACCTTATAATACCCATCAGTTTTTTAATCTAAAACATTTAGGCCAAAAATGTCTTACTATATCAAGAATTTCCAATATTATTAAATTACATTTCATAAAGAGAAACTGACAATTACATTTTGATGTCTTTAACTGTTCAAATCTGTATATTAAAATTAAAATTTTGCTGTTATCCTTACATGAGAAAATGACTATATGAATTTTAACCAAATTTCATGGGCATCTATGGAATGGTCTAACCTACAGGCAATTGGCATGTAATAAAATTTCACTTTGCTATAAAGGAAAAACACATTTTTTAGAGTTCTGAAGTATCTCAAAGCATCTAACACTTTAATCAAGAAACACAATCTGTAAAAATTAAGGCATTTATTAAAGCAAGAAAGAGTAAAGAAGTATAGATTCTTTCTGTAGAAGTAACTATGTATCTTAAACCAGATACCAATTTATTTAACACTGGTTAAATGTTTTCCTGACAACTTATTAGTAAGCCCATTCCCAACTTTTAAACATATTAAACTTCTAAAGTGTCATTCAGAGTAGGGAATAGTTTTCCATATCCTCTAAGTCTGGTCTAAGAAATGAAAATCATAGCTAAAAAATAAGGTAACAAAATAGCATATATTTATTGCCCACACATAAAGAAGGGCCAATGTCAATTTCATAGTTTGTCACATAAAATAAAAATCCTATTGCAATATTAATTTCAATAAACAAGTTTATATGAAAATCTAGTAATGGAAGGATTTGTTAAAAGCATCACTCAAGAAAATCTGACATAAAACTTTTATTGTGGTAAATATGGATATCTTGTAATGGTCACATATTATATAAACCCAGTGTCAAACATTTTCTCAGAAACAAACAGGTCCTCTGTCTAATTAAGGACCAAGTTATTCAAACAGTTAAGACCTTACCTGACAATTGGAAATAAGATATAGTAGTAAAACATAATCTAGCAATTTACACTATATTATTTTTATTACATTTATAAAATACACTAAAAGCATATCCATTTTCAAGAAATAAAGTACAAATAATAATTTCAATAATATAAAATATAAATTATATTTATGACATCTGAAATTATGTTAAGTCTTACCTCTGAACTATAATCATCTGCTGTGGTTGAAATTTCACTTTCCGGCTAAAACAAAAGTAAAAACCAATTATAATTACAATTTTTTTCCTGCTAAACATCATCCTTTAATAATATTAAGATACTACTAATATATGGAATTATTCTTATATCTAAGTTAAATTTGTTTAAATAAAATGTCTTTTTAGGAAAAAAAAAAAGATTACTGTTATTAATCTATGATAGAAAACACACATAAAATACCACTAAAAGACTAGTAAAATAATTCAAGTCTTTAAAATTTTCATTTAATTATGAATTACAATGGCCAAATAAAGCATGTGAAATTTTCAGCAGAAATTTTTATAAATATAAATGTACCAAGAACAACTACCACAGAGGATCTTGTAGCCGGGGATTTAGCTCAGTGGTTTCGGCGCCTGCCATGCAAGCGCAAGGACCCAAGTTCGATCCCTGGTACCAAAAACAAACAAAAGTATCTTGTATACAGCATATATCATTTGTATGCCCAAGGCACCAAATAAGACACCATACTTCTAATCCGTGTACCTCCTTTAAATAGTAATTAAAACGCTGTCAGAAAAACTTCAGTTTCTTCAAAAGAATCAGCAGATCTTGATGAAAAGAACATAACAATTTGTGTTGTAAGAACATCTTTGCAGCTTACAAAGCACTTCGAAAGATATTCTTTGTTTTACCATCATATCCCTGGGATTTGTGAATGAATTCATTAGCTTTTCCAAGCATTCCTCAGCTGGAAAGTAGTAGGTAGAGTCAAGGAATGACTCCTGATTTTTTCGGCTTTCAAAATTATTACTTTTATTGTTCACTGCATCTAATCTAAGAATCTCACTTTACTTGTAAGGAGAGTAAGACCCAGAGAATTTCCCTCTTTCATTCAACAAGTATAAACTGTCATTGTCAGTTTTCTCATTTACACCTAAAGAAGTATCATTCAACATTCAAGATCAAGTTCCAAGTAATAACTGAGAACAGAAATAACTCATGGAACAACAAGCTTGGTTCCTAACTTACAGAGTTTTCTTTTAAATCTAAACACTTGTCATGAAACAATCCCCACATTAAATGATTAAGTACATACTGTGTATTAGAATTGTGATACTGAGAATAAAACAGTTAAAAAATAGTTACTGCATTCAAAGTGCTAAACCTACACTGAAGAATCCCACTCATTTGCGATGCAGCAGAAAATAATGTACCTTCAACTACATCACATATCAGAGTTGCCAAATTGCTTTATTTAAAATGCCCAGTTTAAAAAACACATGCTATACACAAAAAGAAAGGAAAATGTGGCCTGTACACAAGAAAAACAGTGGCCCATAGAAACTGTCCCTGGAGGGCCAGGGATTTAGCTCAGTGGTTCCACCACCTGCCTCGCAAGCACGAGGTCCCGAGTTCAATCCCCAGTAACAAAAAAACGGAATTGTTCCTGAGGAAACACAAATTGAAATCAATAGACACAGACTTAAAATTAGCTACTTTATTTTATTTTATTTTTTTTTTGGTACCAGGGATCAAACTCGGGTCCTTGCGCTTGTGTAGCAGGCAGCAAAACCACTGAGCTAAATCTCCGGCCCCAAAATTAGCTATTTTAAATATTGTACTGTATAGTCAAGTAACTAAAGGAAACAATGTCTACAAAAAGTGAAGAAATTTTAAGAACTATGCCACACCAGAGAAGAACAATAAAAGAATGGAATTATAAAAAGAACCGCAGAGAAGTTCTGGAGTTGTAAGGAAAATAACAAATGAAAAAAAGAAAACAAATGAAAAAAAACCAAATGAAAAAATCATTAGAGGGGCTCAATAGATCTAAGCAAGAAGAATCAGTAAACCTCAAGTAGAACAATTGAAATGAACCTGTCTGAAGACTAGAGAGAAGAATGCATATGAGGCCATGAAAAAAATTCAATATTTAAAAGGACTGAAATTACATGTTTTCTACATCACCTATCCATGATAACAGTTTTTGTGTTAAATTCTTCTCAATAGACATAGAAAAAGCATTTAAGAAAACTCAATATTCCTTTATGATAAATACATCAAATAAACCAGGAAGAGAAAGAATTTAATCTGATAAAGGGCATCTACAAAATGCATCTATATATATATATATATATGGATAATAAAAAACTCAAGGTATCGATCGATCCCTGGTACCAAAAAAAAAAAAAAACAAAAAACAAAAACTCAAGGTAGAAACCTGAATGCTTCCCCCTAATATAAGAAATGATACAAGAATGTCTGTTTTCATCACTTCTTTTCAACACTGTATTGGAGGTTCCAGTAATGTTAATCAGGCAAAAAAAAAGCACAGGACATCAAGACTGGAAAGGAAGTTAAAACATCTCTAGCGCAAATGACTTGGATCCTGTATACAGAAAAAAAAATTTTAAAGGATTCATGTAAAACGATCTAATGTATAAGTTCAGTAAGGGTGCAGGATGCAAAACCAATATACAAACATTAGAGGTTATATATGTATATACTAGCATGAATACAGATTTCCCCCATTAACGACCTACCTGTTTAACGACTATTCAGACTTATGACCTAGGTACACTATTCAGACTGTTGTTCACAAGTGACCTGTCTTTTTTATTGTAAGGTACACACTGTTTATACAGTACTGTAATCTTTGCTGATGGTACTGTACAGAACAGTATTGTAGTTTTATCTTGTTATATTTTACAATATTTCATATAAGAGTTATGGAAATAAAAGCAAAGTCATCAAGTTGGAGTTTCCTCTGACCATTTCTTTGTTCTGCATATTGTAATGTACATACTATATACAATTCCTCATTTAGTGATCAATTCACTTGTTTTTTTTGGTACCGGGGATTGAACTCATCACAACCTTGCACTTGTGAGGCAGGCGCCAGTGCCACTGAGCTAAATGCCCAGCCCAGTGATCAATTCATTTTAACAACCTAGTTGCAGGTACTTAACTTGGTCATTAAACAAGGAATTCTTGTAATCAAAAAATGAAGATAGGAAAATAATTTACAATAGGCACACAAAAAGGCAATAAAATGCTCAGAAATAAAACAGCAATAAAAAATCTTAGGAATACATTTAACAAAATAAGTGCAAGATTTATACACTGAAAACTACAAAATAATATTGAAAGAAATGAAAGATGGCCTAAATAAATTAAAAAACATCATGTGTTCACAGACGGGAAGGCAATATTGTTAAGATAACACTATTTTCCAAATCCATCTACACAGTTAACAGAATTCTTGTCAAAATCCCTGCTGCGAACTGTGTGTCACCCACCTGCAGTCCCAACTACTCAGAAGGGTGGGCAGGAGGACTGTTTGAGTCCAGGAGTTCAAAGCCATTCTGGGAGACATAGCAAGACAACAAAACAAAACAATCCCTGCTACCTCTTATAGCAAAAAGGAAAACCTGATCCTAAAATTGATACAGAAATGCAGAGGACCCAGAATATTCAGAACAATCCTGAAAAAAAGCATAGTTGGAAGATTCACTGATTTCAAAATGTGTTACAAAGCTACAGTAACCAAGACTAGGGCATACTAGCAAAGGCTAATTAGAGATCTACAGAATCTTAAGTGAGAGGCCAGAATAAATCCTTGTTTTATAGTCATTAACAATTCACTGGTGAAAGAACAGTCTTGTCAAAAGATGGTGCTGGGACAACTGGATATCCACATGCAGAAGCACGAAGCTGGATACCTATCTCTCAGCACATAAAAAAATTAACTAAAAAAAAAAAAGATCATAGACCAAAATGTAAGACCTAAAATTATGTAAGTCTTCTAAGAAAACTTAGGTTTAAACCTTTATGACGCTGGACTTGAAAACATAAGAATATTAGATATGACACCAAAAGTACAAGCAATTAAGAAAATACAGTTAAACTGTGCTTCATCAAAATTAAAAATGCTGTGCGTCAAAGGACAATACTGAGAAAATGAAAAATCATAAAATGAGAGACTATTTGCAAATTGTGTACTGAAGAAATTAGTCAATTTTCACTATTTACTCATTCTGTATTTGTGAATTCACCTCCTTAATAAACTGTGTTTGTAACCTCAAAATCAACACTTGCAGCACACACAGTCATCTGTGGGCAGGAGCAGAGTAGTGAAAAATGTGATTCACCACTGCACATGCTCCTACATGAGGTAAAAGCAGGCAACATTTTGCCTTCTTGTTTCAACTCTCAAAATGTAAGCCTGGGGGTATTGTGATGCCCCCTATTTTTCCAGAGTAGCTGTCAATCTTCTCTTTTTTCTACCCTTTTCCAAACAATCTTCCTTTACTTAAAAAACAAAACATGTAAACCAATGTCCTTTCCATAGTCTACTTAGTACCACCCTTTTCACATTTTTGAACTTTTTATCAGCAATTTCACTTCTTAAACTAGCCCCTAAATGTAATACTGAAGTGCCGTCTAGTGTTTTCAAGAGTGAGAAGGTTGTGATGTGCCTTATACAGAAAATGTGTGTCAGGCTTTGTCCAGGGTGAACAGTAGCATATTCATCTATGTTTCTATTTCAAGGTCCCTTATTTAACATATATTGTTGACTCATAAACTGAATTATTGATTAATGAACTATTTATGAGTCAACAATATATAGATACACATATTAACATCAAACTATTGTTATAAATCAACAGTATACGTTAAATAAAAAACCATGAAACAGAAAGATAAAACAAGATTACGTGTCTACTGGTTGATAAACTATTTTGACAAGTGGCTCACAAAAACCTAACCCTGTATTTTCCCTAGAAGGAATGGCTCAATTTACTAATTCAGCATGAGCAGCAACTTTAAAGAACACAACTGTGACAGATGAGGGGAACTGCTTGTACTTGAAAAATAAATAATTGTTACACAGCACATATAGTTTCCATGGTTCCAACACTGTTCTTTCCACATTCTCACTCCTCTGTGAAAGGAGCTATCTCACTCTTATAATGAATGGCACATTAATCCATTACTACCTTGACCTCCTGAACAAAGCACCAATCCTTATATATCAAAATCTTGCTGTTTCTACATAAATATGCCATGGCACAATCAAATAATCACCATCTGTTCTGTCCAGCACTCTTCCTCCTAAGTAATCTATCCTCCTCTCTTCCTGGTCTCAGTTAGTGGTCCAACCATCCCAATCCATCTATAGCTTCTCCCAGATCTGTTTTTCTTAGAAAGTTATCTCCTTAAATGGAGTAAGGGGTAGTGAGAAGAATTAACATTCACTGAGTAACCACTATGGAGTCATGGGCAGGTACAATCTCCAGACCCTCCCCTTTATCATCACCCTACCCCATCACTGTGTGATCCATTTAAAACCAAACTACCTACATTTATCCCAACACAGCACACTGTTTTCTGTATCTGCAAATCCTTTTTCTTCTGCACAGAGATTGCTTCCCCCACTTCTGCCTCAAGCTAATTCCAACTCATACATCCAAGGCTCACTTCTACTACTTTCAAGAAACCTTCACCAATCACATAAAAGTTGAGCATTCTTTGCACTCTACAGTACCATGTGGATTGGTGATAACATAGCTCTAACCAGAGTGAGTACAATGTGTATCTTATCTGGCTTCCCCATTAAACTGATTTTTCTAAAGGGAAATATTATCATGCTCATCAACATCTTGTTGATGCTCAATCATTGACATATTGCAGTTGTTCAATGAATATTTGTAGAATGAAGCTTGCAAAACTCACTCTCAGAGGTTACTAAATATTTTAGGTCTGTTTAGTTACTACAATACTGATGTTTGCAGACTTAAAAATCATAATCAAATTACATGAGGTACTAATAATTATTTTCACTATAATTGCTTTCCATTTAGAATTATAATGTTTAGAAATCTGGATGCATACTTACTTCAACATAGAAGACCTGGTCATGCTTGGTTACTTCTCCACTGTGCAGAGTTCTTCTCAATGTGGATTCAGGAGTCACAACTGATCCTACTCCCTGAGAACTATTTATGTATATCTCATCACTCTGTGATTCATCAATATTCAAGCTGTGCACATCGTGTTTACTGCTTGAGGTTTTTCTCTTTTTTTTTTGCTTCTTGGGAGGATTCTGCCCATCAGATTGAGCTTTTCTTTGACGAAACTGGGCAAGCTACAGAAAACAAAACACAACACATTGTTTACTTTTTAAAAAGACAAGGCAAATCTCAGGTTCACAGCCTTCCCAATTCAATATATCTGGCTTGAATTTTAATAACATTGTACTTATAGGCATAGGTAAATTCTAGAAGACTAAAACCATAATAACGTTGGTGCATTTCTGGATTTGAGATTATGGGAGTTTTTCTTTTTTCTCATTTAAATTTCCTTTTCTGATGCAATAAATTTTCTAATTTTTATATAAAATGGCTACTACCAACCATTTTCTAAACTTAATTTGAGCTCTTATAATCATGCTAAAAGGAGAAAGATAAAAAAAAAGACCAGCTATAAGTTCCTCTATGACTTTAAGAGGAAATATACTACCAGAATTACTAGACCTATTAATGAGACCAAGACAGCCAAAAAAATTTTTATTATACAAAGTATTAAAGCAATCTTCTTAATGATGCTAATGTTTTTAACTATCAAAACATGCGACAAACATGTTGTCTATTAAATTACAGTCTATTTTATACTTACCTCCTATAGATGAAAAGTATATAGAAATCTTACTCACTTAGTAGATATTTAACTCATATATCAGAAACAGCTCATCATTAGCCTTACAGAATATAAAAACATATAACATTTAAATTTTTCCCAGTTATTTAGTAACTACCCCATTATTTCAACTCATGTCTGCTTGAGAAACAGGTGAAAGAACAGTTGTTTCTAGTTGTGTATTATTAAGCTGTTGGAATGCACTTAAACTACTTTGAAGGATAACAGATCCATTCTTAAAAATATACTAACTTGACTACTAGTAATAGAATCAGAAGTCCAGGCATTAAAAAAAAAAAAGATCTCTCCAAGAGAATGCAATGCCAAAAGAATATTAATAATGACACTCTTATTTACACCCAATTTCAGAAACTTCTTCAAATATGTTACCTGCATTAGAATATATGTAGACAGCATAATATATGAAGGCAAAGATTAAGATTTTGTTTAAAATTCCAAATGTGTTAGGTTATATATATTTAATATTTATTCAATGTATAAGCACATGAACCAATGAACAATGAACAAAACTAATGAACAATGAACAATAGCAAAAAACTGAAACAAAACTAGAAAACTAAAACTCTGCATAATAAAACATTTATTTAAAAAAAGACTGAGACAATATCCATGACTAAATGAACCCAAATTAAAAAAGATAGTAAAAAGAGAGTAAAAAGTAGAATGGTTCTATCATAGTATTTAGAATAAATCACTTCTAAAGACAAAACTATAAAAACATTGTTTTATGTCTATACTGATTATATGAAGTTATATTTTTTGGAACAAATAAACAGAAAGTAAGTTCCATAGTGGCAAAGACTTTTGTTCACTTCTATTTATTCAAAGCCTGGAACAATACTCAATAAATACATGTTGAAAAAAAAGAGTAATTTATCTTTTACAGAGAAGTTGCCATAGAGCAATAGTTTTTAAGTAGCTCCACAAAACCTGAAAACTAAGATGATAAAGATATGTCTAATTCTACTTTATCAAAAGGTCCATGATTTCAGAATTGAAATTAATCATTATCTACATAAATAAAAACATTACAATAATCTCTTACTATAATCTCCCTCCTCCACCATGAAAAAAATGAAAAAATTGAAATTCTCAGAAAAAAATATCACAATAGCTTTCTGTTGTCAGATAAAAATGTGAGAAAAAAAACATGATCATATCACATATTCAATTTCTTACAGCTAGTAAGTAAAAAAATCTCAATTAGATAACCATCTGACTCTGAAATGATGCACTTTAAATTACTGAGAAAACATTTATTCTAAAACATGCTAAAAATTCAGACTACAGCCATCTGTGTTTGTCATTTAGAAGCCAATTATAAAAATGTTAACATATGTAGTCACAGAAATAGTTGCAAGATTTACTGGAAAGATAGTATGGCCATATAAATTTGTCTTTCAAAATTGGTTCAGATCCCAAGCAAATGTCTTACCTTGACAAGATGATGAATAAATGACTAGTAATAAATAATAATTTATTCCTTAAAGATTTGTTATAAATGATCATTCTTAATAAAAAGTGAATTTTCAAAATGTTTGAACACATGCCAAGTTTTTATAATATCCTTTCAAAAAATGACTAATTGAAATCTGTGTAGGCTTTTGCATGTTCATTGAGTGTTTACAAAGTGCCAGGCACTGTACTAGAAATGAGTCAAAATATATCATCCTAACAGAAGGACTCTCCAGTCAAGGCCAGCTTGTAAGTTCACCCAATTGTGAGAAATAAAAGATAAAAGAGCACAATTTCTTTTTTTTTCTTAAGTTCTTTTATCGGTACATTTTAGGTATACAATTCGTTTACATTTATCATTGGGTGTTTGAACGTGTACATGATGTATCGTGGTTATTTTTTCCCCATTACCTGTGCACCCGTCACCCCCTCCATCCTTCCCTGTTTACAGACATCATTTCCATTTTTTTTTCTTTTCTTACAGTTTTTCCTTTCCCTCCTTTCTTTTCCCCTTCCCCTCCCTTCACCCCTTTGTCTTTGGACCTTTTTTCCTATTTCAAATCATCAATTATTCATTTTAATCATTTTAACCCATGTTTACACTATCAGTTTCTCACACTAGAGAAACTATTTGGTATTTACACATGTGTGTCCTATTTATTTCACTTAAAAGTATGGCCTCGATATGCATCCATTTAGCTATAACTGATTCTAGTTTTTCATTCTTTATGGCTCAGTAGTACTCCATTTTATAAAAAAAACCACATCTTCTTTATCCAGTTTCCAATTGATGGGCACTTGGGCTGCTTCCAAGCTTTAGCTATTACAA